TCTTCTCCTGGTTCCTGTTAGAACACGTGCTGCAGCATTCTGGATCAGCTGAAGAGTCTTAATGGACTTTTTCAAGCAGCCTGATAATAAGGAATTGCAGTAATCTAGCCTAGAAGTAACAAATGCATGGACTAGTTTTTCTGCATAATTTTTAGACAGGATGTATCTGATTTTTTCAATATTACGTAGGTGAGAAAAGGCGGTCCTTGAAATTTGCTTAATGTGAGAGTTATCCAAAAAAGGTTAATGTCAAGGGCAACTGGACTTGGTTGAAGATACTAGAAGACGTTTCTGGTGGGTAACTGCTGAAATAGAAGGGCAGAGAAGTGTGTTAAGACTGTACTCTGCCTCCAGGTCTCAACTCTGGATTGTCATGGATTTGGTCCACTAATAAACTTGGCCAGATTTCTAGATATAAGAGCTGCTCCATCCCAAGAGGAATGTATGCTTTCTCTCCGAATCAGACCAGGTCTTCCCCAGAAAGTCTGCCATGATCTACAAAGCCCACATCGTTTGCTGGACACCACCTCGACAACCAGTGGCGAAATGATGACATGCGGCTATACATGTCATCACTGGTCAGATTTGGCAGGGTCCAGAGAAAATTACGGTGTCCGACATTGTCTGACTCAACTTACTCATTAATCCGACTCAACCTCGATTGGCGTATTTACATTTCTCCTTAGCCAGCAGTTTCAAATAAGACTCGATTTCGCTCGCTCTGGCCCCAGGGATGCACTTAACCATGACCGCTGTGCTAACTTCACGTTTCTCAAAATGGGGCTGCCAATAATCACAGTTGGTTTCTCAGCGGAAGTGTCGCTGTATGGGGAAAATCTGTTAGAAACGTGAACAGGTTGGTGGGCTTTGAATGCTTACAACTATTCCTGCTTCAGACAGTACCAAGCCACCCTTTCCTAGCTGCTCAGGAGATGCCGGGGAAGGCTACCAGAGGCTAACTCAGGCCGTTTCACACCGACTACCAGGGACTGGCTGGGTAGACTGATCTACGAAGGTGCGGAGCCAGACTTATAAATCACTGAGCCTCGCCTCAAAACTACTGTAAGAGTAAGCGTTTAGCAGAGAGTTAGCCGCTGTAATGACAAATCTAACAAATTTAACTGGTATTTAGTGAGAGCAGCAAAACACGCCACCAACACACAAGCACCGGAAACAAAAGTGAGTCAATACGCTTACTGCAGCACATTATTTCTCAGAAGCTCCCTGCCACCACTTAACTGCGGTAATGTTTGCTTTTACCTTCTGGGGAATCCCTCACCTAACACAGTCCAGATTTAGCTCCTCCTCGATTAGTGCATCCGAAAGTAGAACAACCATTCAGTATTTTGGCAATGCAAAAATAACAAACTCAAAGTAACAGTGTATCACTTGCTTATCGTCTTTTTTGCCCTCCAAGGGAGCGTTTTCGTTGGAATGTGACGTCATGTGAAAACTATGAAGAGTTGATAAAAAATGTCAGTGAAGGTTCTCAATCGTCAAGGTCATAGTTACAGTTTATTGGAATTTTTATATACAGTCTATGGTTCCCAGTCATCCAGGTCAGGTCTTTGAAGGTTCTCAATCGTCAAGGTCATAGTTACAGTTTATTGGAATTTTTATATACAGTCTATGGTTTCCAGTCATCCAGGTCAGGTCTTTGAAGGTTCTCAATTGTCCAGGTCATAGTTATAGTTGATAAGAATGCGTCTCCACATATGTCTGGGTCTGGAGAGACCACTCAGGAGGAGGAAATCAGGACAGCTGAGTCAGTGAACTCTTTTAAGCCCCCTCTGAAAACATAATTTTATAGAAGAGTCTTTCCTGATTTTAGTTGATCTTTTTTTCTTTTAACTGTATTTTAATTTCAGAACTTTCTTCTGCTTTTACTGTGTATCTTATTTTGTTTGCTGTGTTTTATTGCTCTTGTGAAAGCACTTTTAATATTGTTTTCAAAAGTGCTCTATATATAAAGATTATTATATTATTATTACTTATGATCAGCAAATAAACACATAATAATAAGTAAAAGTAATACATTTCATTTATATAGCACTTGTACTCAAAGGCACTTTACGTGGTAAAAAGACAAAAACAAGATTAGCATAAATAACACAATAACTAGAGATATCTATTAAAAAGTGAAGCAAAACACCATAAAACCAAGACAGAAACAAAAAGAAAACAAGTTAAAAGAGACTTTAAAGAAATGGGTTTTGAGTGCGGTTTTGAAATTTGTAAGTGATGTGGAATGTCTGAGAGTGATGGAGGAGAGAGTTCCAGGAAGAGAGGGGCAGCAATGGAGAAGGCCCTGTCTCCACAAGTTTGGTGCTTGGGGCGGGTAACGGGAAAGGAGGCTGACATCTGTAGTTCTGAGGTTGGGAGTATGATGTCATTGGAGGTTGGTGAGGAAAGAGGGTGCGAGGTTATAGAGGGCTTTGTAGGTGATTTTAAACGGGATTCTGTGTTGGATATGGAGCCAGTGGAGGTTTTGGAGAAAAGGAATGTGATGTGGTGGAAGACAGACAATGTCTTTGTCCCTCCCTTTCGTCTCACATAGGCCTACATCATTTCCGCTTGCAAAGACCAAATGCGTAGTAGTTTTTATCCCGAGTTAAATGAATTTACTGTTTATCAGACCACAAATGAGAAAAGCATTAGGTTGGAAAACCAATAAACTCCACTGCAGTGGTTTCTGGGTGCCGGGCCTCATTGATTACTGCACAAAACTAACTGTTGCTGTTAGCTACTTAGCTACTTAGCTAGTGGTCAGATTTAAAGTTTTATTAGCTTATTAAGTTAAAGGGACAGTGTGGATTACAACATATAGCAAGTTGCAAGATTTTACCACAGTCTGTTGAATTCATATTCCAAACAAATAGGGGGAAGCATATCACCAGAGTAACCACTAACTGCTGCTAACTACTGCTGCTGTTGCTAGTTGGCCTTGCAGCTAGTAGCAGTCCCATAATGGTGCATTCCAGTTGTACTAGGAAGTCGGAATTTCCGAGTGTCCAGTAGGAAATTTCAACTGGAACATCCCCTTAAGTTGGATTTCTGACTCAGAGAGTCGGGAGAACCTCACCAACCTCAACCTCAAAATCCAAGATACTGCTTCGAGCATCAACAGAGTGAAAGCTGTAAAATAATATACTGTTTATTGCACTTCTGTTTTGATTTGTGTCTCAATAAATCAGTCATACACACAGTACTGTTCAACTTATAACTGTGGACATGTTGCTACAGTGTTTGTATGTGCACAATACCACGTCAAGCGGAATGCGATCAACTCAGGTGTGATTTCATTTCCAGCCCTGACATCCAACTTCTGAGGTAAATGAAACACGCCATTAGCTGACTCTGCCTAGACTGGGAGCTCGGAGAACTGGGGGAATGTTGGTGTTTACACATCTAGCACAAGAGCTTTGGGTTTCCAGAAGGAGGAGGTTTTCAGGACCAGGGCGAAGGGACCCAGCGGGGAATGTTGACGGGGAGTGGTTTGGGAATTGGCAACAGCAGCAGGCCCCAGGTACTCCAAGTTCATCATCCGAACAACTTCGAAAATCCATTTAGCAAGTTACTGTAGCTTCTTCTTGAGGGTTCACACTTTACTTAAGCTTAAGCAGAGGATGTTAGTTGAGCAGGCTGTCCTTCATTGTGGCCCAGGACATATTTGCGTACACACTGCTAAAAGACTGTGGCCATATGCGGCCCAGACCACCTCCAAATGTGGTTTGAGTGATCAAATCTCAGTGTACCCAAGACAAAGGTTATTGTCAGGTGTAAAAAGAGGCTATCACACACCAAGCAATATTTCTGTGTAAATTTCATATTGATATTAGTGGTCAATACCCCCAGGGCTTAAAATGTCAGGAAATTATATTGCTTGAAATTATATTATAAATTGAAATTATATTATAGTGAATTGTCCCCAAATATTAGGAAACTATTTTGTGTCAATGGATACTGTCAATTAATTTCTCAAAACAACTGGCATACTGATTAATTGTAAAACAGATTATTATTAACAACATAATTATGTGCTCTTATTGGCCACACTTGTTTACAGTTTTAGTGGCTTTAGTAGGTTTTTAATTGGAGAGATGAGATGGTGATGACAGAAAAGATAATATGTGCTGATATGATGTAGAGACAAAAGATGAATGGTATAGGCTACAAAACATGAGAGAACATCTTTCTTTCTTTTTACCTACACCCTTTGTTGTCTAAATATTAAATTAAATATCTAAATTGCATATAAAGATCATACAGGACGTTGTCATCATGTTGTTTTTAAGAATGTAAAACTCCAGATTTTTGGCATTGTCTTATTTAAATTAGGAAAAACAAATTCCTGATAATAAAACACATCTCTGTGGCACAGCAGTAGGTTTATAAGCAGCAAGGGCTTGCTGCAGAATCTATTTGAAGGTCTATGGAGGCAAGTGTGCAGCCATGGATGGTGAATGGGGGAGGGCAGCCAAACTGAGCTAGGCCACCATCTGGCCTCATAATCATATGATGGAAAAATATCCTAGTTATTGTAGCATACTACCCTGTTGACAATGACAGCTGAAACAGATTTGAGCACAAGGCATTTTGGTCCTTAAAACCACAGAATCCCGTTTGCATGAAATGTATATTTAAGGAGAACAGGCCCATGTTACATCAGTATTACTGTATATGTTTAAGGCATTACTGATTTATTGATGACAATTTAATGAAATGCTGTTTGTTATATATTTATACAACTATATTACAAGGAACATGACACACTTTAGTAATAACACTGACGGACCTGAGACTGTTATGTTTGCAACTTGTAAGAGATAACGGTATAATTTGGTGGGCGCGTCCAAATCCGTGGGCTTATGGGAAATGTGGTTCAAACTCCACAAACAGCACCTGTGCAAACCGGGCCGCGTGCGGGCGTATTACTTCATTACCCAGAAGCTCTCATCTTGTTGCGCCTGCGCTGTTTATGTTTTCCCGTCCATGTGTAGGCGAATCACGTGTAGAGAACCGTTGATCGTCATGTATCTGCTGTAGCAGAGCTCCGTGCTAGATTTTGTTACTTGCCTCCAGTTGTCGCTGCACTTTGTTTTGACAGCTGCTTGTTTTCTTTTCCCATACCTTTTTACCGAAGAATGAGCGAAAACGATGACATCGAAGTCGACAGCGATGTATGTTGTTTAGTTTCCTCAAGAAGTAGCTAGCCAAATTTTTAGCCAAACAGCAACTTTAACATCTCTGCCAACCTACGCTATCTGCTTGAGCTAGCTAGCTAGCTAGCTGGGTTTGTTGGCTAACACTAGATTGTAAGGAATATAGCAAATGACGTTCTTTGGAGCTGGCTTGTAGATGAAAGTCGAGCACATTATTCTGGTGAATAAGTAACGTCGTCTATCAGCGGTCAAATGAGCCATCTTTCGCGGCAGCTCTTTAAAGCCAGTCGCCGTTTGGATGTTGTTGCGCGTGTTTTTGTTCATTTATGGTACGGGTGCTAGGAGCGGCCAAAAATACCCTATACAATCCTGTTCAGGATCACGATTATATTTACTGTTGAGTTTTTGAGAAAGTTATAGAAAAAGTCATCTCCTAAATCAAAGGAAAACCTAGTAAATTCTTCATTTTAAAACTATCATTATTTTCAGTGAAATCTTGGTTCAGTATGACCTGTAAGTATGATCCAGACTGTGATCACGTCAGATTTGAAGTCATTATTCTGTACAGTTTTGGAGAAAATTAAAGGGCATGTCAGATTTTCTATGGTCATAGTTAGGGTAGTTGTGAACAGGATGGCATTGGGATTCTCAGCAAACCTATTATGAAAATGGGTTTATCAGTTTAAAAATGAGGGAAACTTGTATGCGTTACACTTAGGGTAATTGATTACATTGACAATATCAGCACAACTCTTCATGACTCCATTTTTAAGCTGAGTGAAACTTTCAAGAAAATATGATTTCATATTCAATGTGCTGCTATTTATTTTGACATTACCTGTAATGTTCTTCGCAAGTGTACATTAAAATGCTTAAGTTGGTATGCCCTGCAAACCTATTATGAAAATGGTTTATTACTGTTTTGTCATAATTACAGAATGAAGGATTTGCCATGAATTACAACCTGTATATACGGTGGTAGTGATTGTACATTTATTTTTTTTAGGTAGCCATCCCAGTAATATGACTTAAAGACATGTTCTATCTAGGAACATCCTGAATCTTTGAGGAAGGCTGTAGACACCATTTCACATATTAGGTGTGAAATGTGAGAGTTAAAGCAGGTAACTTTGTACTAGAGTCTTTACATGTACGTAGTAGCCACGCCAAGCACTGGTACCGTAATTGCATGAATAGATGCACAACAAAACCCAAACGACTTCTCACTTGATTGCAGTGCAAATAGGATACTAGAAACAGCTGTGTTTATTATAAGGTACCTTCCATATTAGTCTTTTGTTTTTCTGTAGCCTTCTGGACCTTTTTAAATATGCTCTCCTACAATGAGAATCCAGTGCAGATGCCAGAGTTTACATTGCATTTGAAACATACTTACCAGAATCCACATCAAACATATTGTACATGCTAGTTTAAATTCCCCATGGTGTACAAACCACCTGCATTTAATTGCTGTATATGTGTAAGGGAGTTTTATTTAAGTATGCATCTGAAATTGTGTCAGATCCTCGGTCTGGTCACATATGTGCGAGAGTCATGGATTCCCCTCCCCCCCATTTGATTAAGCTGGGATCTCCTGCTTTGGATCTCAATAGCTACTGTATAGATATACTGTCATGCCTGTAACATGTCTATTGTTACAGAGTAGTTCAAACGTTAGTATGACAACAACTAATGGTTTTAGTGGTTCTTCCCACAGCACTCTTTATGTCTCTCTTTAATTTAATGTAACATTTTATAAGTGTTTAGCAAGTACCCTCATGAAAAATCTTATCATGTACTGTATTTATGCAGTTCTGTTTGTACAGTTTTGCTATATTTGACCTGGATAAGGGTTCTAATGAGTGTATGATAACTGTAAGAACACCAAAAATGCAAGTTTATTTGCTTTATTCAGCCGCAGCTTTCTGGTTAACATGACAGAACACTGTGTTCTCATTGATCATGTCTGATATTTAACAATGCAATTTGCAACATTTTGCCTGTAGGCAGGATATAGGATTATAAGAGGTTTAAAAACAGGTTAAGAAATGTCTTTCTTATTTGTTTTCTATCGTTGACATCAACTTCTCATATTTTCTTGTCTAAAAATATAAAAAGGATAACTCAAAAAAGACCCGAGGCCTGGCCCGCATGTGAATTATGACGTGAAAAGTGGCCCGAAGCCCGGCCCCAGGGGCGTAAATAAGTCGGGGCCCGTCGGGCTTGGGCTGAAATGCAGGGCTCTAGGTTCAGCGCTGTCGTCGGATCCTTAACTTGGTTTGCATCCTGTTCTAACTCTTGCCACTCATTTTAATGAGCTTCTAGCCTGAGGCTGAGCTGGCTGACTTTGTAGAGCTACAGCAGGTTCCAAACAAGTAGACTGTGAATGCAGACACAAATTGTATTTTGTTTTGGAAGATACTGAGCAGAAGAGTAGATTTTTTTGGCATCTATTGGTTCTGTTCAAAACAGCAGAGAGAAGGTAGACATTGGAGTTGATTTTGAGATCCACTGTGCCGTTAATAGACAAAACATTGAGACAGTTTGCTGGTCCAACGCTTCAAGCAACTGATAGTCAACAGTTCACAATCAGTTAAGATTCTGTAAACAGATCGCAACCTTCATTCAACATTATACCTACACCACAGGTTCCTGCTGTATGATGTCAGGGAAATGAGATGTACACACAAGGACCCTGTGAAAGATAAGGCCACTGCTTATTCTACTTGTTTGCAATTTAAAGCTGCAGCATTTGCATATTGCAGCTTAAAATTGCTCCCTGTCTTATTCTTATATGTTAAAACTCACATGGAAAGCAAGTCACAAACATTCTTGGTTTTACCTTGTGTTAGGGCTGGGTAATAAAACGATAACTAATTATTGCGATATAATAATTTATTTCTTAGAATTACAAACAAATCTGCACTTCTATTAAAATATTTGTTTGTTGAGGAAAAAGGACTGGAAAAAAAGAAATTAATTAGTCTTATACACATTTGTTGAAAAAATATTTTATCATTATAATTGTTTGTTCATTGTTCTCAGATTTGTGAAATGATCCTCTGTTTGGCAAGTTCTGACAGTAAAGAATAGTTTAAAACCACAATTAACTGTCTGGTTTCTTCAGCTTTCACTAAAGGGCAAAAATCCGCCTTTAAACTCAGAAATAATGCTTTGACATTTATCATGATCATTATTGATATCGACTGATATATATATATTTTTTGTCATGATAACAGTTTTAGCCATATCACCCAGCCCTTGTGTTTTTTTTATGTATCACCTGAGTTTGTAAAGCATAAACTTTACCTGTCCCTTTGCAGGCAGACAAGCGAGCACATCACAATGCGCTTGAGCGCAAACGCAGGGACCATATTAAAGACAGCTTTCACGGTTTACGAGATTCTGTGCCTGCATTACAAGGGGAGAAGGTGAGAGGCAAAAATATTTGTTTTCTACATTGTTCTTCATACACTGTCTCAAGGCTCAGCAACAAATACCAGTTTTATTTTGTCTTCTAGAGATGAAACAGTATGAACATTTAATATTGTGATAATAGTGACCAAAATGATGACAGTTATTATTATCGCGGTGTTGTTAAAGTCTGCTGTAAATGCTGATGCACACACTGAAATCATTAAAACAAGATCATACCCAATACCTTATGTAAACATGTGAAAACCAAAATATGTTGGTTGGGTGAGTAAACTACATTTAGTGTCAGCAACACATCATGTGCAAAAGAGATTAAAGACAAATGATGCATGTAGCAGCAGAAAAACGTGCAATGTGTTCAATTTCAGTCTACAAGCTGTTACTACAAGTTAGAAAGACAAACCATGGCACACACATTTCCCCCACGTCATGCATTGAGCTAAAAGTTAATCTGCATTCGTTATAAAGTAATGGGTGGTAGTCACAGTTTTGCCCCTTTCACAGCAATTTATTTTGATCAAGTTTCCCTCAACACTTATAAAACCAAAATACGACCACACTTCAGACTTAGTCCTCCGAGGACTAGGCTGAAAAATCTCCAGAGCATTGTCCATGTTTTCATTGACCCAAAACACACCGACGTTTCCCGCGCGAGACTAACACTAACATTAGTTAGAAACAGTTAAATTAGATGCAGGACATTAGATGCAGGACAGAATTTAACCAGCACAGTTTTAATGATAATTAAAGCAGCAGTAATATTAACCATCGTTTATCATTAAACCCCTAACCGTTTCATCCTTAGCCACCTCAATATATTTCAAATTAATTAAATGAACGATTAGTGGTCAACCCATATGGATATTTCAATATCTGATACTGATATTTTGAGAACAGGGTGGCCAGTGGCAAATGTATAATCCTCACTGATATTAAAAACGGCATGTATAATTCCATTATTTCATGCAGAGTACAATCTAATATTCATTGTTATCTTGGCCAGTAACATGTTGGTTTAGATGGAATATTTAATAATGAATGAAATAGAAAAATACATTGGGTATGCTGTAGATTTTAGAACATGACTGGTGTTTAAGGTAGAGCTGGTTACAGTTTTTTTTTTAGAAGTGATGTCTTTCAACTATATTATTAATATATAATATAGTATATCCAAATATATTTAACACTAGGCAGTAATGTCTGTGAAGATTCTCAGTCATCCAGGTCATAGTTATCCAACGAAGGTTAAAGTCAAGGGCAACTGGACTTGGTTGAAGATACAGCCCTGACCAGATCTGATCTAAACACCACCTATTTCCAGTACAACAGAGGATTCTACAGACAGAAGCATGCCTGTGCCATGGGCTCACCGGTATCCCCGACTGTAGCAAACATCTACGTGGAAGAAGTGGAGAACAAAGCCCTAAACTCCTTCAGAGGAACAGCACCGAGCCACTGGTACAGGTATGTGGACGACACCTGGGTCAGAATTAAAAGCTAGGTAGTGCAAGCCTTCACAGAACACATCAACTCTGGAAAACATACCAACAAGCGCCTGAGCCAGAGAAGGAACAGAACCACCTGAAGGGGGCACTGTGGATATCCTAAATGGACATTTGTGAAAACAGCCACAAGATCCAAGAAGAACAAAACTACAGGGGATGAAGAAAAGAAGGTCAAATGCAACAACATTGTGATTCCATACGTGTCTGGAGTATCAGAGAAACTCAGGAGCATTTTCAACAAACACAACATCCCTGTGTTTTTTAAACCCAAGAACACACTAAGACAGATACTGGTACACCCCAAAGACCGCACACCCAAACACAAGAAAAGCAATCTAGTGTATGCGGTCCAATGCAGTGAGGAATGCACAGACCTGTATATTGGGGAGACTAAACAACCACTACACAAACGCATGGCTCAACACAGAAGGGCCAACTCCGCAGGTCAAGACTCTGCAGTCTACTTACATCTGAAGGACAGAGGACACTCGTTTGAGGACCACCAGGTGCACATTTTAGACAGAGAAGATGGATGGTTTGAAAGAGGTGTCAAGGAAGCCATCTACACCAGGGTTGAGAAGCCGTCATTGAACAGGGGAGGGGGTCTACGCCACCACTTATCCCCCACTTACAATGCTGTCCTTTCATCACTTCCCAGGAAACTCAACAAACGTAACCTATTGGCCTCAGGTGAAGATACCAACGATGGTCGTTCAGTCTTGGCCACAGGTAGTCTAACGACTGTAACGACTGTCGTCACAGCAACAAGGAACACTAACGAACCAGCAGTATCGACGATCCTGGCAAACGACCCGACTGAGGTTAAATAGCGAGTTTCCCTGCCAGTCAGTCAGAACTGAAGAAGTCCCTTGGATGAGGGACTAAACGTTTTCCAGTGTCTTCAACCAAGTCCAGTTGCCCTTGACTTTAACCTTCGTTGGATAACTAGGCAGTAATGGTTTTAGATTAGATTTGCTGTCCTTGGTGACGATGGTGACTGAGGAAATTTATGGCTCGAAACCAACACCACCTTCCCGAAACTCGCAAGGGGAATGCTAACGTTGTTTACACTGCAGCCACACATAATCAGTCTATAACTATTAACAATCAACAACAACATAGAGCCTGCATGTCCGTAGAGGCAGGAAAACTGAACTTTGTTGTGCACATGCATAAAACATTTGTAAGGCATGAGAACTGTCAGCATAAGCAATATAAAGTTAAGGAGACATCCCCATTTCTCTGGTAGAGCAGGTTCTCTGTTCCACTGTTGTTTTTGTTTTTTTTTTACAGCTCTGCACACACGGTCACCCGCCGTGGTAAAGTCTGCAGCTCATCAGCTGCGTTTCCAGCTCCATAATGTTCAGTTTAGTTTGTACCAATCAAAACCACTGCTATTCTGTGGTGTTCTGCTTGCACTGTTCTCTTTGAACTCTAAACCAGATCCAAGAGATCATTTTCAAAGATGGCCAGCTTGCCAAGCAAAGCTATCCACGTGTTAAACATGTCCAAAACTTTATGTTTATGAGATTTGAGATTGTTAATTTGTCCCACAGTATCTGGGAATCATTGTCACAAACCAATTCATATGCTCTGTGAACTTTTACACAACTGGAAGGCGTTACCATTGAAGCAGTTGGAAAACAGCTCTATACGTTTTCAGCAGCTTAGTCATTAGAGATATGTTTATATCTACAGTCCATTTTATAAGTCAGTAAATCAAATTAAATATGAGAAGTGCAACAAGCTGTGGCATTGTTCAGTATGCAGGTGTGATGGTGCTTCAACATGGAGGAAATGTTGCAGTCTTTTCCCTCTTTTGTGCTAGGATCAACATGTCAGTATTAGTATGTGTACCAAAGTTAATGACCTCTGGAATAGTTCTCGCTTAATTTATGATCCAGACTGAAAGTGATCTGCACCGTTCATGTATGCCACTGTGATCTCTGCATTACATGTTGTACCTGTACAAACAGACACTGCAGCATTGTCCCATGGCTCTCTGAAATTTTTGCTGACAGAACTCTGTCAAACAGGCTTCCCGAGCACAGATTCTAGACAAAGCCACTGAGTACATCCAGTACATGAGGCGAAAAAACCATACCCACCAGCAAGACATTGATGACCTAAAGAAGCAGAACGCACTGTTGGAGCAGCAGGGTAAGTGGAGGAACTGTTTGTCTTTTTGTGACAAAGTATGATGTAGTACGCTATGTAAAATTTAAAGAAAGTGCTATTCAGTATTTTTTCTGTGTTTTTTTTTTTTTTTTCCTCTGTACTGCCACAGTTCGTGCACTGGAGAAGGCCAAGGGGAACAACCAGCTCCAGACAAGCTACTCTTCTGATAGCAGCTTGTACACAAACCGTAAAGGGAGCGCAGTGTCTGCCTTTGACGGTGGGTCCGACTCCAGCTCTGAGTCAGAGCCAGACGAGCCACCCAACAGAAAGAAGCTACGCGTGGAGGCCAGCTAGACTTGCCCCCTCCCCTCCAAATCCCGGTTCCCCAAAAAGACTCTTTTTGCCCACCAGCCCCGACTCCTCTTACCTGTCCACTCTCAGTCCCGCCTTCTTCCGCCAGACTGTGTGAGAGAGGTGCTATTATGTATAAAACGCTTCTACCTTGCTTTTTCCTCTTGGCAAGCATCCCGTCGCTCCTTTTGTGGCCCAGCAACAACTTTTTAAGACCCCCAAATTGAGGCAGCTCTGCAGTTTTGAAGGACTTTATGCTTTTCAAACATCATGATAACTATTCATAATCAAATGTGGGGATTACAAGGTATGAGGCTTTGGTGAAGCTACAGAAAATAAAATGATTTATTTTTTTTGTTGGAGATGTGAGACGCTACAAGCTTCGACAAAATTGTAATTAGTGATAGTTTTACCTTTTTAATATTAATCATCATTAATCAAATGGATCCCTCTATTTATAGTGATGCACCAAAATTGATTTCTCACCCTTATATCTGATCTCCTTTATGTTTGGCTTGAGATTTTCCAGAGAACACAGGAGAATAAACAAGTGGACCTGCTGTTTTAGTGGATTTTCTGTAGGTTCAACTATTTATTTTCCTTTATTTTATTATTAATAAAATGTGGGTATAAAAAAAATTCCCTAATGGAAACTGAATGTTGCGCAATGCAGTTAAAAGGGCAATGACCTTTATTTTTGTTAATGGAAGTCCATTTCGGTGTGTAGCAGGGACGTGCACAGGAATTTTGAAGGGCAGTTGCTCTGACCTGAAAAAAGGCACTAAACACAGTATCCAAAATGTATTAACAATATAAATGTCACCAAAATACATATGAGAAAAAGAGTTCCTTATATTATTGTTTATTGTTTTCAATATTATTATCATTATTATTTTTTATTTTTTTTCCTTTTTTTTTTTATTTGAAAATAAATAATCTAGATTGAATTGACAGATGGGGAAAACTCGCTTCTAATAAAATATTAAATAAAAAAACGCTTAGATTTCGGAAAAAAATACAATCCTTTTTTAACCTTTTGGCTTCCCGTACATTCAGTTGCGCTTCTAGCTCGTATTCACTTCTGTTGGTACGTATCACGTATGGTAACTGGGCAAAACTACGCATGATTTGTTGTAGTATGATTGCATAAAGGAAGGAAACAGGAATTCCGGTAGGGAACAGAATCGACTGACGTGCAGGCAGCGCTGCAGCAGTGCAGCCACTTAAACAGAGTTTGCCCTTCCCCTACTGACTTTCACTTTCGGTGCCCGAATGGAAGTGAATGAGGCTTTGCGATCGCGATTATTTTTATTTTATTTTTTTTTCTCGGAAGGGTGAGTCGGAAGGGCAACTTGAGTCAGGAAAGGCAAACGGGCAGTTGCCCGGGCAACCAGAGCAACCCCCCTGTGCACGTCCCTGGTGTGTAGTATATAACACTGTATACTCCTAAATGGTGTCAGCTCTGCAAAGAAAAGCCTTCCCTTGAAATATTTGCCTGTGTTGGGAATGTTTATCTTTCCTTCCCTCCCCCTCTTTTTGCAGAGGTAAATTAGTGTGTATGTAATCAATATTTGTTTGTTCCATTCCATGGAAATTACAGGTATGTTGTACATACTGCCAACAGTTGTCTTGCAAGTTAAGGCATACCTTTATTATGAGACTATAAATAAAACTATTTTATCCTTTTGGGATGTATTTGTGACTCAACATGTTTTTTAATAACATCTCATAGCTTTTGTACATTACGCTACTGAAGTTAGTATTTTTTTTCCCTATGTATTAAACTGTATATGTATTGTTTGGAGGTAAACAGCTGAGTGATGGAATGAACTCATTTCCAATCCCATTTAATGAAATTATAAGGTGTGTTTAATCAAATTTAAGAAACTGCACTCCAGGGATTGTTTACTGATATTTGGGTGTTCACCTTTTAAATGTTTCTAGATCACAATATTTAAGGTGGTACAAATAGAGGATTTCTTTGCTTCTCCATTCTGTTTCAGATAATCTAATTAAGTAGATAATAGGAGCATCAGAGACTGGATCCTATATTAAGGGTACTGAGGAAACAGATCACATCCTCAGTAATATTTCATGAAATGTGGGACATTACATGTTATCAAAAACAGTTTACATTGAGGGGTTTCAAATTTTGATTGCTTTTATACCAAATAAATAAATGACCATTAATTAGGTATTTAGTATTCACCACCAAAATGACATCCCAACACTAGAGGAACAACATAAATGAAAAAAAAAAGTGAAATTTTGTACACATTTCAAATGTTCTTTTAAATATATGGGGATGAAAGACTTTTGTTGATTGGTCAACAGAAAAAACATGTTCCTAGGTAGGCGTGGCTATGTTGGGGGAAGTTGGTTTCATGACATCAATATTTATAATACCTGGCAGCAGCTCTGTTGTTTAAATATTTAATTTGGGATGAGCTCAGTGTGATGTGTCCTAGCCTTTTTATATATGGTCCCAGTTGACACTCCCACTGAAGAGGAGGCCTCGTCAAGGATGCAGGTAGTGTGCTGCCTTTTCGAGCCGTGGGAAATTTGTAGAACACATTGGAACATAGCAAAATACAACTGAAATAATCTGCTGTATTTGACGCTGCTGGAGAAGACAGTAAACTTAAACAAATCGCAAAGATGATGCATTATTACATTTAATTTAATATTAAATATAAGTAAGCGAATCAGCATTGTTAATATGTCTACAGTGTTTTTTACTCGCTAAATTCTGCCACTGAAGCATAAAACAACTCGGTATATTTCTAGAAGAAGCAACGTAAAGACCCGCTTTTGTAAAATATTTGCAGTTGTGCTTTCTAACCACTGAGTGTATCTAACTGGCTGTACTAGTACAATTTCCGAGTTCAGAAATATGACTTTTCGAGCGGCCCTGAAGGTAGCACACAGCAACAGTGAGCGAGGACATCACTACAGCTACATCGAAGGGTCATGCTTTCGTGTCCGTGTTAGGTTTTGGTCATGGCTAAACAGTACGACGTTTTGTTCCGGTTGCTGATGCTCGGAGACTCTGGGGTTGGGAAGACTTGCATGTTGCGCAGGTTCACGGAAAGTGAATTTGACCCTTCGCACATTTCCACAATCGGTAAGCCAAGCCATCCAAGAAGTTTTCAGTGACGTTTCACAAGTCATCATAGCAGGTCGAACCGAATTAACGCCAGTGAATACTCTTTACAGCAGTAATATGGAGGCTGCAACTTTTTTTTGTTGAAGTTTTAGAACAATTTACCAAATTAAATTTTTTTGTTCAAAGTATAAGCAGGCCTACTTAGCTTTTAGGATTAAACACCCTCAGGTCCTAACAGCCCTGAAAACTAAAACATGCACTAAGAAAGCTATTCTGACCATGGTTATACCAAAATAATAAACATTTTCTAATAGAGATATTCCCTTAAGGAAAAACACTAAAGCATACAGAAGAAGTGGGAGCCTGTGAGCTGTCACATAACAATGGAACAGGAAGGCCCACAAAAACAATATTTTCTCTGCCCTCAAAGTGTTTGATATTTTATCCTGTTTTGTATTTAAAAAAAAATTAAACTTGTGAACTGAAATGCACTTTGGGGTTCGTATCACTGCTGCCTCTTTTCCTGACTGTTGGACACACTAATGAGTTGGAGGGAAATGGTGGGGCTGTTTTTACATAAGCAAAGAAAACAGTAGACCTACAGCACACACTTCCATGGTAGGCAGTATAGTTTGTTGTGACTGTAAAATACAGTGCTGTAGTGTAGAGCGGAGCCTGGGTGAAAGGTTTGTGAAGTACAACTGGAGAGCTGGATATCAGGAGAGCTTGCCGGGTGGGAAGGCTTTACATGGGATTAAACCCAGTTATTAGAGAAAGTGCGTGGTACCTACAATCTCCTTGCTTTTAGATCCCTGATGTTGTGATTATTGGTGAATATTAGACAGCTTCTTCCCTCCAGATCTGCATCCCCATTTCTCACAATTACAGAGTCTTTTTAGAGAGCTGTGTCATCTGGCCAACAAAGTGCTGGTACTTCTTCGTAGAAGTTGAAAAGGAAGTACAAGTGTATTGTTAGTATATATATTGGAGCTGAAACCATTAGTCAAGTAATTGATGAATCGATTGATTGAAAATTCATCTGCAGCTATTCTTGATAACAGGCACACTGTCACACTGTCATGGCTTATTGGGACACTTGAATAGAATAGAGCAACCATTCATTTTTTCTACCATGATGAGTTAAAATGTCTGCTGGAAAAAAAGGTCCATACATTCACCATATAACCTTATTTTTCAAGCAAAAATGCCAAACATTGTCTTGTTGCAGCCTCTCTGTTCTGGGGATTTGCTGCTTTTCTTTGTCTTAGGTGACAGTAAAGTAAAAATGTCTGGGTTTTGGACAGTTAGTCAGGCAAAACAAACAATTTGAAGATGTTGACTTGGGCTTTACGAAAGTGCAAAGGGGATTTGTCACCATTTATCTGCCATTTTTTATAACAAACGATAAAATCTATCTAATTATTTTGACTGATAATGCAATTGCAAAGCAAAGAAAGCGGTGTGCACTTTCCCCGCAACATTGTTCCAGTCAATCAGCAACAGCTAATGCTTGTGTAGGGGCATATTAGGGTCCTTGAACAAATATTGTACCTGAAAATTGCAGTAGGCCATATTGTGATTTTGGTAACATTTTCATTAATTGTTCAGCCTTACTTAATGATTAAATGAATAATAGAAAATTATCAGTAGATTAATTATTATTGAAAATACCCCAGATAGTAAAATATAGTTTGTTTGGGATAATCTAAAAAATAGAATACTACAGTATATACATTTTAAGCATCCATTCAGGATGTAGCATGAAGAATAGAAATTAATGTCTTTATTTAAGTGGACCTTCAACTGTGGTGGCAGCATAAAAACTAAACCAGAATTCATTTAAATAATATTTAATATAAACCAATAAAGTGATAAGTGATACTTCCTGTTGTTGACAACCAGTGCAGTCCTGGTACATAGCGGGACTATAGTTCACAGCAGTTGCAACCCTTTGTGGAGACAGTGATTTAAAATGTGACACTATGCCACGCCTGAGATTTAATTCATTAGGGATAATAGCGTGTCTGAGCAACACTCATTAAGTGCTCACAAACCCAAAGCCCATAAAGCCTGTGTAAGATACCACAAAGTTGTTTCTTTCACCAGTTTGTCACAGTTGCTTAGGTGATTCCAGTTTGACTATTTAAGAAGGCGTTTGCGGTTGCGTCAGACATCACTTCCGTTAGCTTTTGTTGACCCTGCTTTCTGTGAAATAAAATGCAATTGTCTTCTTTTTTGGTAGGAGTTGATTTTAAAATGAAAACACTAGAAATAGATGGAGTCAAGGTGCGAGTACAGATATGGTAAGTTAAGTTACTTGTATGTCATTTTACTGCATTTACAGTTTGCTGCACATTGTGTGATCTTCTTTCTGTGTTTTGTCTTCTGTGCAGGGACACGGCCGGTCAGGAACGTTATCAGACCATTACCAAACAGTACTACAGACGGGCACAGGTGATCCCCTCCATATGAACAGTCACTGGAGGCAAGCTACCTTCATGGGTTACTGTAGCATTAATTATTTATATTTCTTTCTTTATCTTTTGTGGATTCTTGTCCAGGGTATCATCTTCGTATATGACATCACAAGCAAGCCGTCCTTTCAGCACCTGGCAAAGTGGGCCAGCGATGTGGATGAAGTATGGCAATAAGCACTCTCATTTCACTCCCTTGCACTTGTTGCCCTTCACAGTGACCCAGTGTTTGTATTACCTACCCAGTGGCTTAGTGTGAGTGACAAGATGATGAAGTCTTATATCGGTTCTGTCTGTCTTTTTTTGTTGTTGCTTTGCAGTGTGCCCCAGACACGGTGCAGAAGATTTTAGTAGGAAACAAGTCTGATGAGAAGCACAGGAGGCAGGTGACAAAGGACCAAGGAAGCAAGGTTTGATTGAACCTTATTTTGTGTTTTTTTCATTTATTATGTTTTTGGGTTGTCCATCTGTCTGTCCTATTCTTGTAAGCGCAATATCTCAGCAGCGCCTCGAGGGAATCTCTTCAGATTTGCCACAAACATCCACCTGGATTCAAGGATGAACTACTTAGAATTTGTTGGTCAAAGGTCAAGGTCACTGTGACCTCACAAAACATGACTCAAGAACTGATGACCATATTTCACAGTTGGTCAGACACTGAAAAGGGGACACTTTGACTCAAGGTGACCTCAAAATAGGTTTAAAATGAATTGGACAATTCCGTAATTCTAGTTTCCATTTAGTTACTTGTTAAGTGATGGTGTACTGTTTAGGATTTTGTAGATATGCAAAAGCATCCAAAAGTTCTCAGTAAATTGTTTTTGTTCCAGTCTTCAGCTGTACATTCAGTGATTTCAGGTGACCAGGGTTACATAGCTCTATGGCTAAATGGTGAGCTGACATTTTCAAAGGAAAGGACACTGTACAATCTGACAGTAGCTTATTAGGGTTGCAAATATTAGTATGGGGAGTTATTTTCCTCATTTATGTCATACTAAAGAGCTAAATGTATTAGCTTGGCAAGTATTTCACAAACTATGGTGCAGAAATATTGTAGTCATGTAGCATTCAACTATTTTCTTTGCTTATACAGAAAGAAACAAAAGGACAGCTATAGTTAGTGGGCAAATTCATAGATTTTGAATTCTTCCAAAAAGGATTCTTCACATCAGCCATTAAAACAAATTGATAGGCCAGTTAATAACTACTAACAACTTCTGTGTTCATTCACTCTTGGAGAAAACTGACTAAAGCTATGAAATACCATTTGTTGTACTTTATTTCTAACCACGTCCAACTGGATCTCCCAGCTAGCAGAAACCTATGGCATGGAGTTCTTTGAGACCAGTGCCTCCACCAGCAGTAACATCAATGAGGTAAGTCACAGGCTGTCTGTCTGTCTGTCACATTATAAATGTGCACACACTTTACGGGGAACTCCCATGCTACATTCTTATTTATTACCTGTATGTTTGTTTGTAACTTCCTCTTTCCTGCAGTCCTTCACCCGTGCGGCAGAACTGGTGCTGCAGGCTCACAAAAGAGACGTGGACAACTTGTTGGGATCTCTGGATGATTACCTGGAGATGGCCGCTTTGGAAGAAGAGAAGGACGGTCAAGATAAAGACGACAACACTCAGAGGAACTGCGCCTGTTAGAAAGACGGGCCGTCATGGCTCATACTGTAGTTGAGGACATTTGTTCCCCACTTTGACTTGACTCAGCCCTCCTCCGCCTTCTTCAGAGACACTATGACCTGTTGGTGAGGAGGGTGCTCGATTGGTTTCACTTTTTCCAAGCCAGTGAAGTGACTTCGTGGTAAACGCAGTTAGCATCAGCAACCAGCAGAGGGCCAATCTTGTCGCATGATCACTCTCAGTCAGTGAATTAGTTTATCTACAGGGCATGAAGGCAGCTCCGCATCCATTTGCAAAACCATCAGTTCACACACGACCTTCATTTTCCTTGGTGAAATGCACTATACATCTCCTTCATCACTTTGCTGTATTCCATCACCTTCGCTTGTTACTTTTAAAAATTTTATTCACAAGCTGCACATCTACAAATTGGTTGGTAACATGTGGATCCATGTCAAAGAAATATGTTTATAAAAGTTGCAACGAGTGTATATGCTGCAGCAAGGTAGCCAGAGGACAGAGTTTAATTATTTACACCTGGAAACTCAAACCGATCAGGCAGAGATTCATTAACACAGCTGACTTATTTGCTTAAAGGAGACAGTGTTGTGCCATGTTCATTTACCATCCTAAATGTATATGTACAGTTTGTTTTATGAATGTGACCGGTGTTGCATTTAAGGAGTGTCACTGCTGCTTAAAATAATGTTTTCAGGGTCTGCTGAGGTGCCATAGATGTGTAATTTCAGTACAATGTTTGAAACTCAAGCATGTGGCAAAAAATCAAGCTGTATGTCTATGTAAGTTAATAAATTGAAATTGTCATATTTGAAAACAAATTAATAGCGTATCTGAGCTTTGCTGAGTCACTAAATTTGGACTGAGTGTGATGTTAGGTACACGGAGAGTTCAGGCGGTAGGTTCATTCATTTTTCATCACCTTCTGTGAAAGACAGGTGATCACATGTTAAATATTTGATGACTAAGAAAACAGATACTTGTCATAGACACACCATAAAGCCGAAAACATGGCAATAATACATGTTATTTGCTCCAGTCAACACACAAAAACATACTCGGGATAATAACCAAATTTTAAAATAATTCCAGTGATTAACAGCACATGACGTTTGGGTTCAAAGACATTATTATAAAATGTAAACACTTTTCAAAGCTAATCTGAATTAGGATAACACACCTTACAGTAAATCATGCATCATGTGCTTGTGTGGTTTCATTGGAAGTTACATCAATCTGTCTGAAACTTGTTAATAGTGTTGCATTACAGGTGTATCAGCTTCTTGCAGAGCCATTTGACACCCATGAAAGGCAGCTTTCTGCCCTAAGTGAGTCAGGTGACCAAAACTGGGGTACAATCGCACGTTGAGATCCCATCTGCCGGCAGTGTGGAAGCACAGGAGTCAAGATGACATTCATCGCCAAGACCTTCTACGACCTGAGGGCCAAGACGTTGGAGGGAGACACTGTTGATTTCAACGTGTTTAGGGGTAGAGTGGTCCTGATAGAAAATGTGGCCTCGCTCTGAGGCACCACCACCCGGGACTTCTCCGAGCTCAACCAGCTTCAGAGCAAGTACCCACATCGGCTGGTGGTCCTGGGTTTTCCCTGTAACCAGTTTGGATACCAGGTCAGTTGAACTACACTGTTGGCAGTGGCACTTCAGTATGCAATATGCATATAGGACTCCTAAATTACTTTATATGCTTATGATCTTACTATTCATGGGGAGCCCTGCTGTATCAGTTTACATGTTAATAGAAAACGTTACTCAGTTTAGTGCTTCCTCTGGATATATAATACATTTTTACAAATACACACCCGAATTCCTTAGCATGTTAAAGCCAATTTCAATCATTATTCTTGCATTTCATTATAACCATTAGTTGATTTAAACAGTATTTAAACTTGCTAGGCCATGTTTCATTTCTGAAAATGAACATTCTTCCATGTTTACTTTGGCCAGTGAGAATGATTTCCCTATGTTTTCACCAAAACAGCAATTCAGTAAGAAGAGCATGATTGCATATTGTGCAAACTGTAGCTGGTACTTTAGCGTTGATACTGCAATTAGACATTAAATCTAAAGAGTGTTAAATCTGCTTAGCACTCTTATAGAGAGTGATTTTGTTTGCGACAGTAATCAGTTTAATTCCTGTTATCGCTAAGATTAGAAGCAAACTATGAGCATTAAAGCCATTACAATATAGCTGTGTAGTATATACAGCTGGAGAATATGGAAATGAATACTTGTGTTTTGCAGGAGAACTGCTCCAATGGTGAGATCCTGAATTCACTGCAGAATGTGCGCCCAGGCGGCGGCTTTCAGCCCAACTTTACTATCTTTGAGAAGTGTGATGTCAACGGAACAAACACACACCCGGTCTTTGCCTATCTTAAAGACAAGCTCCACTATCCCGATGACGACCCCAACTCCTTCATGCAGGACCCCAAATTTCTGGTTTGGAGTCCCATCAGCAGGACGGACATCTCTTGGAACTTTGAGAAATTCCTCGTCGGGCCAGAGGGAGAGCCCTTTAAAAGATACAGCAAGAAGTTCCCCACCATTGACATCGAGCCTGACATCCAAAGACTATTAAGATTAACCAAGACCTAAGAATAGCTTCCAACATTTTAAGATTTCTCATACATCACAGTCAAAGCAGATATGCTGTCCTCCACACTTTTAAGCCTTATTACATGAGGGTGATATTCTGAAATGCTGAGGGAATATTATCTGAGGTTTTATAAGTGCTTTAAGAGTAGTGGAGATACAGTATGTTAAAGTGTAGTTACAAGTTGCTAGCCTATCCAGCAGATGGTGCTGCTGATTTGATCCTACCAACGGATAACTTCTGTCATGCTTTTATGAATTAACATTCACCACACACACATTCACAAATTGTTTACACTGAATTAAAACCCTTTAAATCCAATATTCTCCCTCCTTGATTTATTTTGTTTTAATTGGACCATATATACAGTGAGACACCTGCTACAAAGATGTGTTGCTCTGATACAAGGTTGACAAACATAGATGTTGTCATGTCTGAAACCGCTCTGTGTGGGCATAGTAATGAGGCTTGAAATACAGTAGGAAGGATGTACAATTATAAGGCATGTCATCATGTACACTAAGACGCTCACTTAAATAACTGCATTATGCGTCCTTTAGCCTGCTGATTCATTCTTTATTTGTCGAGATCTTCTTTCTCGACCAATTCACAAGATCTGCTGATACTGGTAGCCTGATACAGCTGCAGGAATGCTTTACTACCACAGTGACACCTGAAGACAAGTCCAAAAACATGCATTTAGGAATGCATCGACCTTGCCGCTGTGTGACGAGCTCTTATCCAGCTTAAGTTTTCTATGCACAGTATGCATTGTTTGCCAGGTCTGCAGATTAGCAGTGGATTTTCTGCACATCCGCTCACATCCACATCATCATGGTGATGTCAGAGCCACAGGCTACACAGGCCAGGCAGTGCCCTAATGTTTCTGGCAGGTTGCCGCTGGGACAACAGTGAAACTCAGTCACCTGACACTATTTTATTTCTGTTTGTAGATAGCCTGACTCACTAGCCTTTGCACATCACATTTAAATATTTGTGTTGTCGTGATACAGGACATTTGATGAATATATTTCCCACGGGCATATTGGTCTGTGGTTGACAGTCAGGTAAGTAATGTTGGCTATTGGAAGCAGCAAATATTGGAGGAGGAATGCCAGGGGCCTCTCCTCCCCACCCCCGGTGCTCCTCCCTACACACACAGCTTGCAGTAAAATACCACCAAAGATTGTTTATATTTGAGCGATGAATCACTCGATTCAATCTCATCACGTCTGTATTCTAACTTCATCTCTGGACAATATTTTTGATTTGCATGTATTTTGGCCCAAATAACCCTGCATGTGACTATAGCAAAATTAGTTTTAAAAAAATACAATATTTTTACATTAAGCACTGCATGGCATTGCAAGCTTTAGAAACTGTGTTGAAAGTTGTCTTAAATTTCCTTTAACCGTATGTTTTCAACAGGGCATTTGAAACAGTAGGCTAGGTTAAATGTTGTTAGTTTAAAAAAATAACAATAGGTAAAATGCTCCTTCCCTAGAGCTCCTGTGTGTATGGTTTAATTTCATTATTGTCAGTGGAAAGGCCCTCCTCACAAGAAGGTTCTGTATACTAAGGCTACATCCACACTACTACTTTTTCGTTTGAAGGTGGACAGCTTTTGCTACGTTTGCATCTCCCATCCAGACTAGCTGTTACTGGTGACAGTTTTATATTTATTGTGTTCATCAAAATTATTGCTAGGCACAATTAAGTAGCCTAGTTGCTGGATATTGGTAGCGTCCCTACTAAATTGTATGTCCTTGAATTTGACTGATTAGCAGTGAAAAGGAACAAATTTGAAGGAAGTTTGTCTTAAGATGACATAAAACACCCTGCTAACATTTGGACTTCCTGAGACGACACAAAACATCTTGTTACTGCAGCAAATCTTAAAGTCTTAAGAAGACAGAAAACACCCTGTTAACATGGCAAAGTTATATTTTGTGTAGGCCTATTCTTTTGCTGGGAATGGCCATTAAATATCACTTGGCCTACTGGCTGTCCAGTTTATTTAAATCATTTGAAACACCCAATTAGTATTGTTCAAACCTAACTTACCTCTGAAAAGGAATGTAACTGGACCTTCAGAGTAAGTAAAAGAAAAAAAATGTGCTTCCTAGCATTAGCTTGCATAGTTGCATAGTCAGTCTGGTTTTTCAACGCAGAGTGAGAGCTCTTCGTTTTCCCCTCCTCACCGTCAACCCACTACAGGTGAGCCCTGTTGCCACGGAAACGTTTGCTTCCCCCACGAAGCCTTCTCGCGAGACTCCGGGGCAGGGAGAGAGAGAGAGCCAGGGGGGAGGCTGCCTGAATGATCTCATCCCTCCAGCAGCTGCATAGCGCAGCGAGGCAAACCCGTAACTTTGTATCAAACTTCCAAGTTGCCTTTCGTGTGAGACACCGGCGCATTTTCGGTTTGAACCGGAGCGAACACGTTCCCCGCGAAGGTAAGGAAGAGCGCTGCGCAGTTTGTGTCTCGGACTTTTAGGACCTTGTTACGAGTTGAAACAAAAGGAGGAAAAACCCCGCTTCGTTTTGTGTGACATGCAGAAGCTTGAGGCTGAAAGAGAAAAGGTGAGTAGGGATACCGCTGCTGTGTTCGTGGTAGAAGGTGCCTGCACACATCGGTCGGCTGTCTGTGGACAAAGCACATCTTTGTGCTGTGTGAAGGTGCAGTGTAGAGCCAGTGCGCAATCAGTGCCACTGTGTTTTTTAACTAGCAGGGCTGCTGGTAGACGAAGTGTCAAAAGACATGTATCTGCTGCGTCGTTGTAGCCTATATGTCAAGGGCATTGTTCTGAGCACTACTGCGGGGAGACGATTCACAGGTGGCATCGTGCACCACTACATATAGCATGTGTGGATGTCTCATTGTGTAACTGTCACCACCCGAAAATCTCTATTTTTCAGCATGATGTACCCCGGGTTGCTGCCACACGAGGAGGGATTTCATAGAGGTGATTTCCTTCTCACCACAGCTGCATGGCCCCCAGATCTCTGATTTGTTTACAGCCTTGCCTGGTTCATCATCTTCTTGAGCAGCTGACTGCATGGTGAATGTCTACAGAGTTCAGTCTGATCAATATGCCAGACCCTCCTTTTGCTGATTTAGTTATGCTTAATGTGTACAATACAGGCTACACAAAACCAGCTCTTTTTTGGTCCACTGTGGGCACATAGCAAGTGTTTTGGAATAGCTAGAGAGAATACAGATCATTACAGTGGTGGCAACATGATATAATAGGAAAGATCTGTCAATGCATGGCAACAAGGCAAACAGTGGACTGTTTAGATAGTAACAAACAGGAAACGGGTGCCAGCCTTCAGCCAGAGTTCAAATCCACTGTATGCAGCATTGTGTCCAAAATTAGCATATTTACAAAATATAAGCTGTAACAAAGCAGTTATGCAGGTAAGAAACTGAAAACCAGTGGGCTCCCCCTGTACTTGTTACTGTGTTGTATTGTGCTTGTTGGAGTGGGATAACTTTGCAGGAGTCAGGTGAAAAAAGGAAGCTTTGGTGTATGGCTTTGGGCAAGGATCAAGGATTTTTAGCATTCTTGATAGGCTTAGCTGACCTGCGGTGGGCATGACTGATCATACAGCGGCACTGCCATTTTTTACTAGTGAGTCTAATCTCGGCTTTGTCCCGTTAGCTTGTTCTAAATTGTAGCTATTATTCACACCAGACTGCATCTTGCTTTTTCTGATGGGATTTCTTATAGAGAATTAATCTATACAGCTTCATATTGCTACTGGGAGAAGTATGCTTGCCCTGTTTTAATCTGCCAGTGGGCCAACAAATCTGTGTTTTATGCTGCTGACAAAAATACCAGAAAATAAAGGCATTACTGCGTGGGCCTTAAAACATCTCATTTAGGCAGACTAGTTTGCAGCCATGGCAGCATGAAGCCTATACGAATAACAGCTGGTTGACAAGATAAGTCCAAAGATGAGGGTTTTTTGTGCCGCTCTCATCAAAATGCATCTATTTGCAAACTCTAAACATGATCCTTTAGGGGAAAAAGCCATTGCTTCTCATCTTCCTTACCAGCATAAATAATCCTCCCCCTGGTTTATTTCTAAAGGACAGTGTTTCTATTTTCACTTTTTTTCATCATACTTCTCACATAACAGCAACAATTGTTATTGTGCTTCATTTGTTGTGGAGTCTTTTCCAACGTGCCCGCACATTCACAGGGGGATGCTTCCTGTTGCTAACTTGAGCTTATGTTTCTATTGTCTCCTGTGCGTTGGCTCGAAGGGAATAGCTCGCGCAACGATAAAAGACAGCAACAAGAGCAGCATTGTGCTGCTTTACAATTTGGCTCTCTGGAATGTGTGGTTCTGCAATTATGCTAAGTGGCCTTCATGAAATGCTGAAATCGACTGTTTACATTTTTCTAATGAATAATAAGATTAATGTTATGATTCAATCTCAAGTTCAAAGTGCGCTAGTCTTTGTTGGTTTAATGATCTTAATGTCTAAAGTGGGTTTTGACCAAGCTCTTTGCTGCTTCTTGGTTACCGTCACATGTCTTACTGTAACTTCATTTCTAAACTTCCTCAGAGCACCTTTTGGAAATGCGCAGTATCACCTGAAAAGCTGCTGTTGAGCCTTTGCCCCTTCCACCTGTAACCACCTGTTGCTGATGACAGACTATAGACGACAAACCAAAATACCTTGAGGTGTGGCCCTGGACCATCTGGTGTACCAACATGACCAATGTCAGCTACAGGGCCGATTTCTTAATGCTTGTTTATTCTATGAAAAACACCAGAATGAGTGAGTGTGATCATGTGTTTTGACACAACCTTCAGCAATAACTTGTAATCTCTCTATTTTTTGAAAAAAAGGGAAGCTCCGTTGGTTTTAACATAAGTGATGTGTCTGACCAATATTAGTCAGCCCATTGTCAGAAGTCAAATGACTTGATGATAATGTGGCCCCCAGTGTTTTTTCCGTGTGAGTGTCTTTTCGCTGGCGACTGAGGGGGGTTGATGAGTTTGATTGTAATGAGGTGTGACTACGGGTCTGCGTTTCCTGCTTGCTAAACTGCTGGAATGCTCTCTCTTTGTCTGCATCGGATGGTCCACTGTATACCAGCCA